ATCCTTGCACCAAGCTTATTCAATTTGTATGCTGAGCAAATAATCTGGGAAGATGGATTATATGAAGAAAAATGTGGCATCAGGATTGGAGGAAGACTCATTAACAGCCTGCGATACACAGACAACACAGCTATCCTTGCTGTGGGTGAGGATGACCTGAGGCACTTACTGACGAAGATTAAAGACTATAGTCTGCAGTATGGCTTACATCTCAATATAAAGAAAACAGAAATCTTCACAACTGGTCCAATAAGCAGCTTCACGATGGATAGAGACAAGACTGAAGTTGTCAGGGCTTCATATTACTTGGTTCTACAATCAACACCAATGGATGCAGCACTCAAGACATCAGACAACATACTGCATTGGGCAAATCTGCTGCAAAAGACCTCCCTCAAGTGATGAAGAGCAGAAGTGTCTCCTTGAAGACTAAGGTGAACCTAACCCAATCCATGGTATTTTCAGTCACCTCTTATGCATGTGAGAGCTGAAAAATGAATAAGGAACACCAAAGAAGTGTTGATGCTTTTGAGTTGTGGTGTTGGAGAAGAATGCTAAGAGTACCATAGGCTGCTAAAAGGACTAACAGGTCTTTCCTGGAAGAAGTGCAGCCAGAATGCTCCTTGGAAGCCAGAATGGCCAGACTTCATCTCACCTACTTTGGTCATGTTGTCAGGAGGAACCATTCCCTGGAGAAGGATAATTTTCTGGCTCTCTAGTGCCACTCTGACAGGACTGTATACCACAGATGGGATGGGCTTAACAAACTGGAGTTTATTCTCTTAGTTTGGAGGATTTAAATCCAAGTTCAAAATTCCAGGCCCTAAGGGCTGTGTGAAAGCACCCCAACTTTGGTCTTCAGCTCTGCCTCTTGCTCCTGGCCCACTGAGGCTAGAGACATCTTTTCACTCAGGCAGCTACTGGCTGCTGAGGCTAACAAGCCCAAGGTCAACAAATAAAATGTCATAGTTGCGATGTTACCAAACCACATGGCAGGCCATTAATTCAAGTCCATTGTAAGTCCCAAAGTCAGCAGAGCATGGCAGGCTACTGGACAAGGACACAGCTACATGCATGTCCAACAGTGCCATAAACTAGAGACTATCCCCAAGGCTTCTCCTTATATACAGGATGCAGACCATATCTCAGGCAGCTACTCAGTTGCTTGTGGTAGATCCCACCATGGAGATGATTGCCAGTCTCATTATGGGGTATAACTATATCCAGCTTCCCAACCATTCAGCCAGATTCAGCCAAGCTGACATACAAATGTAACTACTGCAGATATCATGCTTGGTAAAGTGGAGGGTCAATGAAGAAGAGGAAGGCCCTCAAGGAGATGGATTGACACAGTGGCTGTAATGATGGGCTCAGGTATAGCAAGTACGTGAGGCTGGCACAGGACCACACAATGTTTTGTTCTGCTGTGCATAGGGTCACTATGAGTCAGAGGCGACTCTGTGGCACCTGATAAAACAACAAATTTTGAGCTTATAACTTATGTCTATTAAAATATTATTTCCATTTCCATAAACAAATAAGAACTACAACTCTCTAGGGAACCTTGGAAAATCTATTAAACGTTCTGCTGAGAGTGAAACTGAATGCAATGGGTTTGCCACTTTAACTCAAACAAGCGTGAGAAAGATAAGTGGAAAAAGTAAGTGGTACTTTATTTTTTGCAACAACAACAAAGCAAAACAAAGAAAGAGACAGCTGAGAGCTCAGTGAACTTTTATGTTTAAGCATAAATGAGTTAACATATATATTCATTAAAATTCTGAGAATTTGGCTAAATATGCATAAGGGGGTCAGGTCAGATCTCAGCAAGGAAGTTGACAATGGAGTCCTTACTTCTATTTAGGGTTCTCTTGGAAACTGATGACTGTTTTCATCACTTAACTTATTTTGGTATATTATTTTGGTATATTTCCATGGGTGAAGCTTATTAGTTCCTAAAGCTGAACTTTTAAGGGAACTTTCACTAAGGTATCAGTGGCTATAATTGCCCACAAGCAAGTCGTCTATCCCTGTGCAATTGGGTCAAGTTGTTTGGAAAAGTAGCTGACTGGTGGTAAGAATGTTGTTGTTGTTGTTGTTAGGTGCTGTCAAGTTGGCTCTGATCCAAAGCCACCCTGTGTACCAGGATTAAACTCTGCCTGGTCATCGGCCATCCTCACAATCCTTGCTATACTTGAGCTGATCATTGCAGCCACTGTATTAATCCATCTCATTGAGGGTCTTCCCATTTTATAGTGACCCACTTTACCAAGCATGATATCCTTCTCCAGCGAATGATTCCTCCTGACAACATGACCAAAGTAGGTGAGATAAAGTCTGTCCATTCTCATTTCCAAAGACCATTATTGTGGCAGTTCTTCCAGGACAGATTTGTTAGTCCTTTGTAGGACCATGGTACCCTTAGCATTCTTCTCCACACAATGCAACTCAAAAGCATCAACTCTTCTTCAGTCTTCCTTATTCATTGTTCAACTTTCACATGCACATGAGATTATTGAAAATACCATGGCTTGGGTTATGTGCACCTGAGTCTTCAAAGTGATGTCTTTGCTCTTCAACATTTTAAATAAGTGTTTTGGAACAACTTTGTCCAGTGCAATATGTTTCCTGATCTTTCTTTCTTTCTTTCTTCCTTCCTTCCTTCCTTCCTTCCTT